TCTAAAATTATATCCTTTCCCAACAAATGATGTTTCTGGCAGCTTATCATTTGTCGTTTTAATTGTACTAGATCAGTTGTGCTACTGACTGTGTAAAAGCTCCAGAGAAAGAACCTTCCTAAGTATAGATTTGTTTTTAAAGAAACACGCCCTCTTGTGCTTACGCCCCCTCTCAAAGACTGATGGGAAGACCGGGCATAGGTAATGATCCTGTATGAACAAGGAGGCTCTTGTAGAAGTAGTCAGTGCAACGTTTCAGAGGAATAGCACGAAGGCTTGGTTGGGGTGGAGGAGTGGGAAGCAATGAGGATAGAAGCAGAAGCTTCATTAGGAGAAAGACGTGTTAAAAACAAGTATATTTTTGGAAAATAAAGTGTTCCCTTTACTCCCCAAGAAGAGGGCTACAGCTCTGCCAAATGTTAAGTGCTCTGTTTGACCATGTGACACCCACAATCTCAGACTGTACAATGGTACAGGTTCTAATAGAGCTGTATGAACACACACCAGGACACACGATTGCAGTAGTTAAAAGGACCTGTCAATGTGTCCACTCATCTAAGCAAAGTCTCAAAAATGTAAAAATCATACAGCATTTCTTTTCCCAGCTGTGGTACACAGACACTGTAGGTGTTTATCATAGCCACAGCTGGTGTACTAGTGGCCTAATAGTTAAGCACTGTCTTCTGGAGGGAAAAGGCTTCTAAAATATCAGATTCAGATATTAATCTACCCTTCTCCCTTAGCAAAATCATCAATTTATACATTATAAAGGGTTTTTGTTTTGTTTCTTTTGCTTTAGATAATGCAAAAAAAATACATATACGAGAACTGAGAAAGCCTGCTGCTCATTAAAATCTCAGCAAGATATTTTGGAGAGCTGCTTGTGTTACCTGAAACAGCTATACAATCACCATCATTAAAGAGATGCCTGCATTTCCCAGACTCTTTGCTTTTTGGCTATAACATACATAACACATATAGATATCACTTACCCAAATACTTGAATGAGATATTTGAGACTTCTGTCTCCAAAACCTTAAAAAATCAAACCCCCCAAAATACCTTATCAAGATAGTTCAGTCTTGCAAAAAGAAAACACCTTATTTATTCTTTGGGTTTTTTGTTGTGTTGGAGGTTTTTTTTGTGGCATAAAGGCAATTTATAAATTGTCATGTTTGTTTAGGGTGTAGAGGTATTAAGAATTCTGCAAACAATGTACTTCTGAAATCAGACAAAATTGAACTGCAATACAGATCAATCAGTTAATGAAAATCACAAAGCAGAAGAGATCTAAGGCTGCTTAACATTATGCTTTGTGCAGCATCCTTATCACTGTAGCTCGCCACCAACCATTCAGTGATGGAAGCCAAAATTTCTAGCAGAAACACACAACTCAAGCACCGCTAATGCAAACTCAGAATCTGAAAAATACTATGAAAAGGTCTGTATTCAGACAGTCATTCTTCCTTATTTTGGACATAAAATGATAAGACTTTTGAACAATCAAGAGAACTAACATTTCTGCAGCCATTAGGTGAAAGTGAACATTATTTAAACAAACAAACAAACAAACAACAAAAACAAAGCAACAACCAAACAACACCCTCCACCCCACCCCCCAAAAAACCAACCCAAAACAAACACATCCAGTATCACAACAGACCTCACTGTTTCAAGCTGTGGGTCCTGTCAAAGTAGACCCTAACAGCTGCTTGCTTGGACAAGGAACGTGTTCAAAATAGTCACAATGACACAGCGTAGTCTTTATTCTCCAAATAGCTAAAAGATGACAAAGACAAACGTGTATTCTACCTAAAAAGTGGGAGTGTATGCATGGAAGCAAAAACTACAAACACCCGAGTCACCACCACCTGTATTAGCTGTCCCACTCTGCCCTGTTCAATGGTTAGTGGGCTCACAGTGCTTGCCCTGCCTGGCACCACTGGGAAGGATCCCAAGGACAGCTATAGCAGCATGCGTTCCGATGTTTTAAGTAAGTTTTGGTCAGGTTTTAAGACAAAAAGCAGGAAGAAAGCAAGCAATAATGAGACATTCACAAAGGATGTTCTCTGTAGCATTTTATCTTCTACTATAATTAACCTTACTTTTCCCCGAAACAGAGTACTATGCAGTACTATATACTATTCATTTGAATCTTTTTCTTGGCTTGAAAACAGTTCCCTCTTCTCCCGATTCATTAAACCTTAGTTGCCTGTATTGCTATTGCTACTTGTTGAGTACAGTTGTATTGCCTCAGAATCCACGATGATAGTTCCTTTTATTTGGTTGATCTGAGGGTCAATATTAAAGGTACACCTTGAGTAAACCAAAAAGCATGCAAAGTCAAACCGGAGAAAAAGCTGTGGTCACGCCCTTCCACTTTGGTCTCCTCGTGTAGTCTTATTAAGAACACTTTGTTTAAATCTTTACTGCATTGCCCTAGGCTATCTGGCTAAAATCCTTCTTTTCACAATCAAGGAGAGCTTTCCCACAATGTCTTAGTATTACAGAAACCACTGTTAAAACAATTCCATAATAAACAACCCTCTCAAACAATGCCTGATAACCAGTTGCCAAGATGAGCTACAACACTACGGAATCTCGTACAGTTAGATAATTGCTGCTAAATTTTTGAGAACAATCAGCTGAGGTGCTATACATTCAAAGACATTTCAGGATATTTTATGGATATTTTTTGTAGCCTAACAACTGCAGATACACAACTGTATTTAGAAAAACTAAACACTACCTCACTACAGGGTGAGAGATAATGAGTTAAAATTAAAGGTTGCTGCTGGCTTCCTAGCCCATCCCCCTTTAGCTAATCTGTCATGTAATGAAGAGAAGCACCTAGCATAGGACAGCTAGCTGCCGGCTCACTTACAGCGAGCTGATTAAGAATGTTCAACCAACAGCAGACTGCAGACCTTTCCGACGAAAATAAATAGACTGTATGCAAATGTGTTTGTCACTTTGACAGCATGTCTCAATTAAAGCATCTCGCTGCTGTTGGTAGGCTCTCTCACTGCAGTGGTATGGACGAGGCTTACTGCATTACTGATACACAGGGCTTGACCCTAATCCGCATGCATGCATTTTAAAAAAGTCTGCCTTTGCCATATACGCTAGCATAATACTAGCAGACATAGAAAGCAAGTGACAATGAGAAAAAAAGCCTCTTTCATCCTCTTCAGTTTATAAGAACTGTGAATGCACAAACAGCCCTTATTTCAGAGTTCTTGTGGCTTTTTAATTGTTCCCACCTACTGTATTCTAGACAGAGTTAAAAGTGACACTAAAATCTTTCCCTTTAATCACTAGTTAGAAGCCGTCCCCCATTTAAACAGTAAATGTTGCTGCTTTTTTCCTCCCCAAAGCCTTAATTTATATTTCATAAACCTGAACATCTCTTCCTTTTGAATGAAAGTATGATTTACTTTTCATTTTGGCAGTGGGCTATCCGGAAAAAAAGACCTGTGAAAGGACAAAGGCTGTAAGTGAGATAGCCCTACAACTGCTAAGTTAGATAATTTTTTGGAAACCGACATTTGTAATGTAATGACAGTAATAAGCATTTAGCAAGCGAGCCTTTCACCACAGCCAGTGGTTCAGTAAAGCTGATGTGTGTTTCTTTTGACATAGAGAAAGTGATCATTAAAAAATTTGAAAGTGACTGTTAAAAAACTTCAGGAATTTAAATTTGCACTTTCCACTCAATTATATATTTCATTAATCTACCAAAATGTTTGAACCATCCATCCTTCATAAACATCTAAAGGAAAAAACTGAAAGTGGGTTATAATATTATCTGGATTTCTGACTACTTTAAATGAAATGTAACATTTTCCTGCTAGAGCTAGATGGCTAGGTTTCTCCAGTAGCCCCAATTCCTCTCAACTGTATCAGCACAGAAGTGAAAAATAAATCACTACCGCAAATATTTAATTGGAAGAGAATCTGATTGAAAAAAAATTCTCCAAGAACTTACATTTAGCACTGTGGTGAAAGTTCTGAAAGAAACAAATCTAATTCTAAGATGATACAGACAACGTTGCTCTGAGCAATGATTATATCTCGTGTTGCCCTATCTAATACCTAAACAGTCAACACAGCTATACTGACTAGTTTCTATGAATAGATACTTATCTAAAAATCTGATTTGCTTCACATTTTATAATTCTCAATATTTTACAATTGTTTTAAAATGACACTGTTTCCTTAGAAGAAATCAGATATTCACTCCTGTTTTCTGATCATAATACTGTAAAAAACAGATACAGAGAAAGAAAAGGCAACTGTGAACACAAATAATGTTATTTTTTGATTCAGACTACACTTAATAGGGCAAGACTGGCAAACTGATAGTAAATACTGTATGTTTTTCCATGAAAATCACAGCAACTACAACATTTTCTAAATAACTAGCTCTTAAAAAAAGACACAACAAAACTCACTCTTTTGCAGACATATCAAAAGAAACATTATAAGAGTAACTAATGTGTACAGCTCAGTTGTCAATACTGAAATACAGAGTACACTAATAAGCTATTAATTGATTTTTCCATCTTAGTTCATCACATTTAATTTTCAGAGAATGTTAAAATGCTTTAATAGTTGGATGTTCCATATTGACACTAATGATCTGGCTAGATAACAGAGGACATTTTAAATTACACATCCTCAGTCCTGAGGGCTATAGCACTTTGCATGCTAAAAGAACAGCAAAATAGTTTATAAAATTGCTATAATAATTATGCTTCCCCCCATTCACTTAGAATTTATTTTCCTCAAAATCATCGTATGGACAAAAGGAATCAGTAAACCCCAGAAAAATCAGGTTTTAGAACCCCATTTAAACAGATACAACAGAAATAAATCTATAATAACATAATTCAGTTACAAAAAATAATGAAACAACTGGCATATTCGTTATTGTGACTTTTCTCTGAACTATTTTTGCTGAGTCATACAATTTAAAGAAACCTAACACTAAGACATACCTGACCAAAATGTACTGTGATGGGTCTTCTGTCTTCCCTCAATTTAGGGTCCTTCTTTTCAACCAATGGCGAAGGCGCTGTCCTTGGTAGAGATTCCTCCGGTGCTGCAGAACACCCATTCTCAGCAATGTCCTGTATGGTAGGAAAAGGTGAATAGCATGGCCAGGAGCATTCTTGATTAAGGGTAAGGAGCACAAAGGAGACACTAGAGGATAATGCTGACTAACGATTTTGATGTTGGGGAAAAAAAACACCAAAGTACAGAAAAGAAAACATCATTAGAATAAAACATTTAGTTGCACTTTGTCAATCAGAGCTTGTACACAACCACTCTCTCCTCCTAATACCAATGTTGCACGCAAACATACACATTCAATAAAATGTCTGACTTAAACATGCAAACGCCAGGAAATACATAGGGAGAAAAAAAAAACATAGCTCAAAATTTCTATTCTAGGAACACTAGGAACAGGGCTATTCTGCTTTTTGCAAATGCAAATGAAAACAGTAATTCTATTTACATACTTCACAGAATTATCTGTAGCAGAACAACTACTTGTAGAAGTGGCAAGGAGAGATGAAACTCACAGCTCAGCTAGCTTTGCATTTTATCTTTGAGTCTGTGTATACTGAATATGCCTTCAGGAGGTTGTATAAAACAAACTGCTGCCTAGCAGGATGCTTTTTTGTTTTGCTTTTCTTTTGCTTTTGACATTAGTCCTCATCTTCAGAAGTAAAGTGACCCATCAACCTAGGTTAGAAGACTTGGCAAGCGTATGTATATGTAACATAGGTCTTGAAAAAGACAAAGGCATGCAGACATGAGGTATCAGACAAGGAGAAGAGAGTTTGAAAGTCAGTTGAGAAACAGTCTGTAAGGCAGTGGGCCCCAAACCTTACATCTCTTTGCAACAATATCAAGGAAATAATGCTTGGTAAATATAGAGAGAAACCTGCACACACTGTAGCTCTGCAAGACTGACCTAAGGTTGGCTGCTGACATAGACATTGCTTTGATTCACTGACCTTTGACATGCCCCCTCAAGTTTCCGTCTTGCTAAGGTACAATAATGAGACATGTAAGCTGATGGCCAATTAGAAATGGTTCTTTTGGACACAGGCTGACCTAATGTGTTTAGGTCAAATGAAACAAAAAGCTGGATGGACTTTCTAAGGGGCTTTGTCTGCTCCACAGAGAAGCTGAGAGACCTTTTTAGATCCAGCTGGTAGAGCAGTGGTTCACCAATATGGGCATAAGAATCGTGGGGAAATTAACAACTTGTTAAGGTCAAACTAGAGAGAAAAACTTTTTCCTCCCCCCGCCCTCCAGCTGCACAATGCTACCTTGTCTTGAAAAAATTCAACAAAGTACACTGAATTAGTAACAAAGAGCCCCAAAACAACTCAATGACAAGAAATGTAAGCTTCTGTCAAACTCATACTTCAGCTTCAAAACAGCAACAAGCTACCAAGGGATCTGGTCGGTTTTGGAATCACATAACATGGCAGCAACGTATACTGTTCTGAAATGTAATGACATTAAATACAAACTTTATTTACATCTTTCTATATAAGTATAGCCATATTAAATGTGCACTAAGCTTCAGACCTGTTATGCATATGCCATAAAGGTGTCCAGCACATTCAAAGCCACCTGACCTGCACTGAACAGTGAATGTTCCCAGCACTTCAGAGCTTTCAGAGTTCCACCTGGAGCTGTGGCCCCAACCAAGGCAAAAGACAGCTAGGAATCAAAGGAAAGCAAAGCATCTTCCAATCCAGGCAAAATTTGCAGAAAAATGTAAGACAGACACAAAAGTTTGGACATCAGGGGAATGGGAGGAGATAAAAGATACAGACAGAGCAAGCCATTAAGCAAAACCCCCTAAGATGTGTAACGATCACTGCAAATCCTTGCAGCTTTTATTGCTATAGATTTGCTGTACTTCTCTGATGATATAATTGCATACAAAAGATAACATGTTCCTAAAGCGTATTTCCACTGTTTGGTGTACAGACTTCCAAAGAAACTGCAGCAGATTTCAGTCAAAATTATATTTTTTAAAAATATATACTTAATGAAATATGAGAATTAAATTATTTGATACCTCTCTATTTTTTCAAATTCCAAAAAGGCAGACAAATCAACAACACAGCTTTGGTCATCAAAGCAAAATTTGCTTCACAAAAGTTCATTTTGTACCTTCAATGAAGCCACATTTGAGCTAAATAAACAGAGAAATCTGATTTTAAATACCCTAAATAAGGGCTCCAAGTAGCTTTAATATGATTAAATGTCAAAGTGTTTGGCATTTCTATAATTGGAAAGTAGACAACAGTCCTTCAAAGCAGTCTGTGACATACCTTCAGTCCACTAACAGACTTTGAATACAGTTATTCAGAAGTCAATAGGGAGTACAAGACAGACAGAGAGATAAAACCACAAATAGGAAAACAGGACTCTCCGATTCTGAACGTCAGCTTCAGAAAGGTATCAGGGCTCACAAAATGTCTACTGATAAAAGCAGTTCTTCAGCTTGAGAACTACAAATGACCAAAGAACTGCAGTGGATCATAGTGCAGGCAGGCCTTAAAAAAGCAGTGCCCATTCCTGGTACTAAAAGAAAAGCCAGGTAGACCTGTGCATCCCAACTGAGGGAGTGGATTTACCGGCCAGAATGCTGTCTCATATTTCCACGCTGCTTCTGAGACCCATGCTAGTACTTCCACCTGAAGCTGTGCTGTGTAAGTCTACCAGCTTGGTTGGTGCTCACGAGCACTTCTTTGTACTGCAGTGCATCATACCGTGTAGATATGTTCTAAGTCTGACTTTTCAGTTTCGACATGTCCCCAAAAAAGGGATTTGGTATAAGCCAGCAAGCCATTCCTGAAGTAGCTTAAGTCATATATATTATTCAGGATAACAACAAAAAAACATGCAACCTATCCCTCCCAAAAACTGGAAAAAAATGGAAGGTGATAAGTTATTCACTACTGGAATAAATTCTCCAGAAATGCAAAAACCTAGCAATGTTTCAGTGACTTTTTAATGAAAATGAAGTGTAATTTAAAGATATTATTAAAATCAAAAACACCTTTTGCCTGAGGATAAAAGATACTTTATAGATTACTGGAAAAAGAGAATGACAACGATCTATCACACTCCATAATTATCTCCATATATAAACAGTGCTTCCCCTAACAACTGTCTGTTCAGGTGAAATCTTTACAACTATTTATTTTAAAGGAGGAACTTCAGAGAATGAGCAAAACATATATTTACAGATATGTAAAGTTCACCCTGTAAACTGAATAAGGTTTTCTTCTGTTTAAATATGCATTAGTAATTTTTCTAGGGACCTTTTGTAATGGACTACAAATACTGTCCATTAGAAGAGCAAAAAACACATTCCAGAATGTGTAGAAGGATTCTTCAGGTTATTTTATAAACCTCTAAATGAGTTCTTTCTAGCTGTACTGATAATAAAGCACTGATAACAGCCCATTGATGACAGACATTAGCTAGAGCCACACAGGGCTCTCATAAGTAAAATAATGCTGAATACATTAATGCCAAGTGCCCAACCATTTATATAAATTGTCTTATCCATAAGCTTTCAGTAAGTTACATTCTCCCTACTGAAAGTTGAGGACGGTACCATTCATATTCCTCCTTCTTCCTAATTCTCTGTAGTTAAGCTTCAAACGAGCCAATAACGGAGTGACTTGACCACCATGGTCCATTTGTGAAATGGAAAAAGCAGCCTTTACAAAAAAAAAAAAAAGGAAAGAAAAAGAAAAAAAGAAAGAAGTACTGTATCAGATATAAAATAAAGCTACCATGCTGTATCTATTAACAATTATTTGCTATCACTCATAAGAATCCTCTGAAAACTATTTCTGTTGCTTTGAAATACTGTACCACAAATGAACAAGGGATGGAAATAGAGCCACATTCAATCTCTACTATCATATTAAAGAAGGACCTTACACACACCACAGTGACCTCTCAACAGGTCAATCCTGCATTTCCCATTTGCAATTCAAACCCAAGACTGGAGCAGACCAAGGGCAAAATGGGCTCTTGATTATATTTAAGAGGTCACCATTGCTATGCAGAGTTGTAGGAAGCAGACCTCTAGCTTTATTGCATTTTTAAATTCTATCTTGTACAGAAGCTGCTCATATTTGGCAGCGAAAACTGGAAAAGGGATGTTTATATTTGACTTTTCCTTACCAGTGGCCTGCATACTTTTTGTATTAATAATGGAAAACAATATGTTAAAATGCAGTGGATAGTAAGTTCAGTTTAAAAATAACCTTAGGTTATCCTTAGAAGATGAAAGACTAGCATGCCAAATTTGGCAAAATTAAGTATTTAATGATGCCAGAATTCCAAACGGTTAACACTTGCACATACTAGTAAGTAAATACATGAAAAATACAATGTTCTCACATGAAAATTGGTGAGTATGCACTAATACAATAGACTTGTCAACAGAGCAGCACAGGCATTTAGATTAAAAATAATATGAGGGTGGACAACACAATTTTTGCTATTTTTATCACTTTAAACAGAGCAATACCTCTTTTTAGAGTTATCATCCTATCTTGCATTCAAAATGGAGAAGAGGATGGGATGGAAAAGAACAGACTCAATGAAGAAAGGAGAGGTAGAGCCGTATGCGTCAACTACTCATAGAAATCTTTTAAGCTCTTGTGAAAGCGTATGTTGAACAATCATGCTTAACCATCTTCGTTACAGAAAAGCCACATAATAAGGAAGGTGAAACAAAATTGGGCCATTTATTTGTAAATGTTATGTGTGTTTTTTAAAAAAGAGTGCTTGCTGCTTGAAGGACTAGGAAGACAACAATAATAATAAAACAAAGCAACGAATGAACGAGACATTTCTCAGCCTTTTATACAAATGTCACAGAATAGCATACAATTATATTAGCATTTAAAATATAGGAAGACAATCTGGTCATTTTACGCAGCTCCAACTGCTTTAGAAATGCACACGAGAAGACCAAACATTTTACTATTCATGAAGGTTTTGTCCAGAAGTGAAACACATGGAATTACATTAAAAAATTCCATGTACAAGAAAACTGCTTCATTTTTCTAATATTTTCATATTATACATAAAGAGGTCACATATAAAGTAGGAAGTGTAATAAAATAGCATTAAAGGCATCTGAAGCAATTTTATCTTCCCAAAAAATCTCTAGCAATCTGCTAGAGTATTTAGAGAGCGAACAGCATTTAGATTGTACACACAGTTAATTTCATCAGTTCATAACCTGGCTGCAGAATAATCCCTTTGTATTAACATTTTGTTGACATAGAATCATAGAATCATTTAGGCTGGAAAAGACCTTTAAGATCATCGAGTCCAACTGTTAAACATGTCCAGGTAGACTGCTGTTTGTGCCATAAGATAGCACTGCAAATGTATTCCTAAGATGATGGTTTAGAAATTTAGAGAAGAAATTTACTGAGACAGCACAGATTTAAAAAATCCCCAAACTATTACGCAAAAAATGGAATAAAAATTTCTGATAAGAACTTCAGTTCTATTAGCAAGTTAGCTATCTTGTTTTCCCAAAAGACTCTAATAGCTCTGCTTCATAGAATAAATAGAGTATCTGAAATAAAGCTAAGGCAGAGTTAACCATTCATTCATAAGGTATGTATGACCATGCTTCTGGCTCAAAAGCAGCAATTAGTATTGGATAACACATTCTTCAAACACAATTCAGCATTCTTGGAACTGCAGAGTTTACAAACAAACAAAGACAGATTTGGAAAACAACAAACAGTTTGAGTATTTTTTTCTGCAATAATTCAAATTTGAACTGAACATCAACTCTAATTTAATTCCTTTATGCCTAAACTTTGCAGTAGACACTCATGAAACATATAAATCCTTTTCCCAATGACCAACACTATACTATTTTCCCTGCGAGACTGCTGTAGAAATAACAACAATTTGCCATTTGCAAAAAGTTCACTGCCCTTACTCTAGGAAAGATCTCCCAGTTCACATAAAGTCCCCTTCCACAATGCCCCAGCACAAAGGACAGGAGAGGGACCACTCCAAATAGAACACTCAATTTCCTGGCTTTTGTGGGTTTAAGTCAGAGCCTTAATGTATTTGAAGACAGTTTTTTTTGTCTGTGAATATTTATAACAGTGTGAAAAATCCGGGACAGCTGGTAATGCATTTTGAAGTGTGTGTGCTAACAACACTGTATCAAACAGCTTCCTATTGATCACATAATGCTTTTTGTGGCTAAGTATTTCATACATGGTGCTTATACATTTTGAATAAGAACTTCGAGTACCTTTTGCTTCAAGCGGTTTTTCACTTCTTTTATTCCCATTTTTGCATGATCTTTTGCCTGCATGAAAAATTAATTTAAGTTAAAATCCCCTTCTATTTCCAGCAGTGACTACACTTGATTTCAGCGCATCAAGATTCACCTTCTCTAGTTACTAAAAACGTCAAGGAAAAAATTGTAACAGGATATTGAAAACATACTAAAACAAATAGAAAGCTAAAAAACCCCCAAACAAACAAAAAACACCACCACAACCACCCACACACACTCGTTGCAAAAATTTTGTTTTCTCTGTTTTGATGCCATAGACATATTTCATCTTTTTGCATTCCACACCCTCGATCTTCCCCTCTCAGTACTTATCTCTGCTATAAGTTAACAATCAACAGAAAATAGTCAGCCTGCAAACTTTCTCCTTGCAGTACTCTCGATGCCAGTTCTACTTAGTAGAGCTAATCTCATCCTACTCATCTCTCAGGCTGGAGGAAGGCAGGAGAAAAGAAAAGTTTGAATAGTTTTCTCAATGCTTTTTGTAGCATTATTTCCTAATATTGAGCTTGTAAGAAATCCTCACTTGTCTCTATGTTATCTTACACAGTGAAACTGGCAGGCATACATGATAACACAGTAACATACTAGCTGTTTGTTAACAGAACTGAAAACATTTTCATTTAAAGAATAACTCAGTAAGTTGAGCTCTAAATAAGCAGGTATAAGAAATCTCTAGGGAAAATTAATTGACGTTTAGAGAAGACGGAAACAATTTGGAAAATGAGAGGATTCCCTTATTTCGTGAAGCTGCAAGCAGAGAAACCTGACGTAACAATGATTTCCAACAGAGTAATGATGAGATGGTAGAGCTGCTTAGTAGATCATATAGGCACTATTTCCCAGAAATAGTTCTATGTAATAAATAGAATTTATCATCTATACTTTCAAAAGAAATCACAAGTTCCCCTTCCCCTTTGCATTTCAATTGTTTAAATTTCAAAATGACTTTTCCATTTAAATTTTAAATTTAGATGAATGCTTATTTTAAGTAATTCCGTGAGTCCAATAAAAATGAATTTAAGTCTTGAGTTTCATTTGAAAGGTTATAACAGAATTGTAATTAGACTCTTATCTCAGTAGTAAGCCAGTACTTGATACTTACAAACTTATAGACAGTCTTCATGGCAGGGTTAGCCTTGGTCTTTACTGTATTTAAAATGGCTCCGCTTCCTTTCTATAATTATAGTAACAATAGAATAAATTTTATCAAAGCTCTTTAAAGCAAACAGCAACCTAAATTCCACCATTCTTAACTTAAAATAACAAAGCATTAACTATGCTTATTAGCAGAGCTGAGTATTAAAATGGTAAATTTAAAGAAAAAGAACACAAGTAAAAACATACTAAATGCTGTTCTCTGGTTTTCCAGAGGAATCCCAATTCTGTTTAATACAGCAGTTTTCAAATGAAAAATGTCAGTGTCTCCTAATACCAAGAGCCCTTGTCTTACAGGTCGTCTCACAAAACAATGTTCTATGACTGTTCCACTCGCCCTCAAGGGTGTTCTGTACATTGCATTAAAATCCTAAACAAGTTTAAGACAAAAGTATCCGACCAAATACTCAATGTCTGGGGCAGAAAATTCAGTTTCAGAAAAGCCTGTATATTCAACCTGAAGAAGTAAGATCTTTTATTTTCCTTTTCATGATCCCACAATACTGTTTATCAAAAGCATGCTGCCTTTTTAAGATCTAAGTAGTTGATAAAGAGATAAATTGAGGGAAAATGAAATCTAACTACAGTCATAAACATTAATTCTAGAAAAGCTGAATTGCATGTGCTGAACGTAATAAAAGTCATAAGGCAGTAACATGTCAAACAGAATAATCTGTTAGTCTAGTTGGTGTTTTATACATCTTCCACACACCATTGACTATTGCTGTACAGTACCTTATTTGATAAATACAGGAGATGGGTAAAATCCAAGGAATAAAATCTTAGATAATTTTATATTTTCTTATTTCAATGCAAAATTATATTTCCAGAGATCAGATGCAATCACTTGCAAACAGTTTTAAGATTTACTACTTCTGTTACTACATGACAATTAATCTTCAACAAAAATTATAAACTGTTGAATTTAATTACACGTATTTTTATAATCACTGTCAGCCATTCCCCTTTCTTATAATTTTAAAGTTACTTGTCATCCTACGTATTATATATATATATATGTAAAAAAATATATAAGAATAATACCTAACTATATGATGGGATTTTTTGCATTACTGTTATAAAATATGTTTAATTCAAAATTATCAGGCTAACATTGAGACCAGCATTTTGTGTAAGGAACATAATTCCATTCATAACCAGGACAATAGGCAAACGGAAAGCTGCAAAACTGAATTCTGTCAGAAAACAATTCAATCTTTCCTACTGACTCATACCCATAAAACACAAATATTTTACTTTTCAATACATCGCATTTTATGCATCAAAAGAAACTTTTAAAAATCAGCTATAATAACGTATTATTCTCTAAAAGTATTTAAATTTTTAATTTATACAACTAGAGCACTAAACCAAAGAGATCCAAAAACATCCCAAACAGTGCTGTCCCTATTCAGCACTTCACACCATTTAGCTTTAGGAAGAGCTTTTTGGTGTGGCAATGTTCCGTTTGTTTCCTTTTCTATTAAAAGTAAAGAAAACCCACATTATTTTCTAAAATGACAATAACTTATTTCCAGCTGTCTCCAAGACATTAAAAGTGGGATTCAAAAACTTGAGAATTCCTATTTTTTTTAGTGTATTTTTTCTTCTCTTCTTTACTTGATCTGAAGAGCGCATTGGTTTCTCACAACCAAACTCAAGTTGGTCACAGCTAAACACTGCAGGAAACAGGTTAGTCATGTTCATGAGGACAGGCGTTAACAGCCATGCAGAACTGTACAATGGTCCAGTAAGAATTAGGATGTCTGTTGGAGAATATTGTGTTCTTACCCTTACTGTAGAGAGCCACTGGTGGTACAATTTGTCACTACCTAGAGAGAATCACAAAACCAAACAACTGTAACTCTCTACCAAATAGAAGACACGTTAGAAATGTGAAGTGTTAGCACTTAGTGGTTCTAAGAGCATGAACAGTACAGAAACAGAACAGGACAACCATCCTTTTCTTTTAATGGAAACACAACAACAAAAAATTGATGAGATATCTACAATTTTTCTTTTACTTGCTAAGAGGCATTTCTATTTCATCTGAGTTGTCTTTCAGACATTTGAGAACACTGAGTTTGTTTTTTTTTTTTAAAAAAAGATCACTAAAAGAAATGAGGTGGTTCTGGGTACAGCCAAGAGTTTTCAATATCCTCCATTGCAAGAACTCTTTTAGTTGTATTTTAGCCAAGTGGTAAAGCTGAGGTTTTGTAAGACTGAACAGACTATTCAGACTACAATAATACATTACTCAAAGTTCTTGACAGAGGAAAGAACAAAAATTTAAGACACTTCAACCTACAGGGATCGTTGCAGCCTCAGTTATTTAGGTGAGTAACCACAATGACCCATTACATCACAATGGCTCACAAACAGTAAGTCAAGAACAGTGTCTGAAATTACTTTAAAATACTGTATTTCTTACCTGCATATTCTCCCATATTTATCTCCTCTTCAAAAACATCACTGAAACCCTCTCCAGAGTTAAGCAGATCCAGACGGCCATCGATGAACTACATCAATGTTAAAAGAGAGTGTAAACAAATCAACCATCCCATCCTTTATCTTTTCAGAAAGACTTTATTCTGCATTTGCTAGAATAACCCCAATGTTCTTATCAGGAAGGGACTCTAAATAGAATGAAATACAACCAAAATTGGCAAAATGTTTACCAATGCAAAAAGGTATGCTGCTTCACTGAAAAAACAGCATTCATATGTTTGTCTATACAGATATGTTTTCAGCTTCCCTGAAGCAGTAATATCATGTTTAACAGTATTATGCTTTCTGTACAAAGTTTACAGCAGATATATTGGGTCTAGGTATGCTCAGATCAAAACTGAGCACAGAGACCTTGAGGGGAAAAAAACCCATACACCTCTTAAAATATAGAAAGCCTTATCACCTGAATCTGAGAAAAGCCAGCAAGCAGGAATTAAGGTGCTGCCAACTACATGGATTTTCCTCATTATGTGTCTGACAGATCAAGGAATATAGGAACAGCCCTTGAAAAAAACAGTTGTATTGTTAAAGAATCTGCTTCTACATTAGAGCAATTAAGCCAGTACCTGCTTAAAGAGCTGGAGCTGAATGGCATTCTGAAGAAACTGCCTCATGACAGCAGAACGATGGGACACAAACGTTTCTTCACAAAAAGTGATGGGTTCACCCTGTAGAGTTCAGAGCATTAAACACTGAAAAAGCTTTGTCTGAATCCATTTGAATCCATTGTCTCCATTTAATCTACTTCCTTTCCAAAATAAATAGATAAATAAAGCAGGCCTTACATAACATTGAGTAAACTATAGTTTATTTCCAGGTTTCAATCCTGTGACTGAGAAACAGGTTGGAAACTGGCAAATTGCGTATCATCAAAATAAAACACATTTGCTTTATGCACATTTGCTTTGCTGGTGAAGGAGCTTTCATCATCCAAAAAGGTAATTTTACTTAATGTCCCCAAAGTATGACACACAGTCATCTGAATTTTGTATATTCTGCTTATCTGCCTCAGTAGACCCAGCCAGTTAATCTGCACAAACAAGTCAGGAATGTCTACTCTGTTCTCTCCACAGTTCAGAAAGATTAGACTTTCATATATTGAATGAGCGAAATTTCCCTTTTTCACAACCTTGTTGGCAAAAGACAGAAATTGTTTTGCAGCTCTACTTTTATCTTATTTTAATGAGTTATGTTAATGCTGAAGTCTGCTGTGCATCTGCCATAAGGGCACAAATTTCCTCCACACTTAAATCTACAAATACTCAATGTAGGAAGCAAATCTATTTATTGAATTAAAAACAGGAAAGTAACAAAGAATGATAAAATTATACTGATGTATAATTAATATGGAGGCTTTTTCATACTCATATTAAAATATATTTGGACTCTTCATCTGTTGAGTGTTTAAAATCAACATTAGATAGCAAAAAACCTTAAAGCACTCCCTTTAAAAGGGTGGTATAATTCCATTTCTGAGAGCTTTTTATATTAGCAATCTCATTTACCATTGGCTGTGTGAAGTCAGGATAACAGGGCCACTAAAATGACTGTGCTCAGAAAAACCCCATGCCACAGCGCTGCTTTGAGCGTATTGGTTTTTCCCCACCAATTTATGCTGGAAGCCACTATGTGACCCCAGGACTTCTAACACCTAATCCACACTAAAAGGATACTAAATCCTCAAAGCTATGTTGGGCAAACTGTGATGACACTCACATTTCTTAAAATCCATAGGTATTCACCTTTTTCCCTGAGTTGACAGTCGATCAAACTTACTCATTGATACATTTCCTACTGTAGGTTTGGCACTACCCCAGGGCTTATCTACCTGACGGTTGATACTCACTGCTGATTGCCGGTCCTTTGACATAACTGACCTCGCCATTGTAACCAAATGGCGCAAACAGTTTTATCAGTTTTTGATGCAATTTATGAGGAAAGTGAAGGAACTATTTGGCTTCAAATAATCAGACCGCAGTAATAAAATTCTTCCTGGCCACCAACGGGCAACCAGAATCACCAAGATGATACGCCATGTGCCTCACCTCTAACCCAGCACTCAACAAATGCCAGAGGTCACAGATTGTTCTTAACATGAGGAAAAGGATCGATTACAAGTGGCTGTCTAAGCACAGGGTGGGTCTCTTTCAAAGAGGGAAGAAGTCACTCTTTTAGGATAGCTTCTTTCACCTTTTCCTTGGGCCAATGAATTTCCATGGTTTTGGAAAAGAAAGCAGGTTTCTTATGTGACAACTACAGTTTCAGGATAATTAATTTCAAAAGTAAGAACCTGTCTTTGATTTACTCTCGCAGGTATTTACAGGGAAAAACCAAATCACTACAATCTTTCCAGGCAAGAAGCATGAA